CTATCTATCTATCTATCTATCTATCTATCTATCTATCTATCTATCTATCTATCATCTATCTATCTGCTTCTCATCTCGCTTGGATTAAGAATAGGAAGAAGGTAAAGAGGAGCTAACCGAGGATACAATGAAGTCTTTTTAATCAGCTTCTCTTTCTGTTTGAGTTCATCTCACATTCTATCTATCTTAGAATGCGACTTTCGCTGTTTTCCATGGTAGACTTCGGTTCCCAGGTGTCCTGGACAGATCGAGTAGAAAGGATTCTTCTAGCCATTCCACAGTTCATCCCAACTGAGAAACCATTGCGATCTGCAGAGCAGGTGACCGGAGACTGACTTGGTGCTGTTTCCTTCGCCACACAGCACTTGTCTATAGACCTCACACCCAGAGCAACCGGGCATGCCTTCCCTGGAGCCTTCTTTCCCATCCCATCCCGTTTTCTCGGAACAGCTGTTCTGTTAATCTCAGTGATTAACAAGGTATCAACCCACTCCCACAGACCACTCCAGAAGAGTCTCTCCAGGGACTCCCGATGGATTCTGTCTCATAGATGGCTTCTCCGTACATCAAGTTATACATCGATGCCCTGTTTCCATTTCTCCTGGGTATATTTTAGAGAAAAAGAACCTCCAGGTCATGTGATAGATGTTTCATCTTTGTTAGCACAAGTGCTTGGAAATTAATCTTTATAATATTAGCTGCATGCTGAACCAGCCCTACTTCTGAATTCACTGGGAGATGTTATAACTTCACATTTGCTCAAGCTTTCTCACAGAAGCTCAAGATTATTTATTTTCCCTGTGTATATTCTTGGCATATTTCTGCCTAGAGGAAAAGCAAAATCAATAAGTCCTACCGTTTTATTAAGTTTCTTAAAGAGCAGGATATCTGATCTGGTGGCTGGAGTTGGTTAATCACTACTCTGGACAAATTCATCTTAGGATGGTGGCTTGCCCTGCATCCTTTCTGTTACCTCATTAACATCGCTTACATCATAATTGCTGCTCATAGCCACGTGTCACTGTCTTCTGCTGTAGCCCCAAACAGTCAAAGTGAGTGACTTTTTTCTTATTTAATGCATCCCTTTGCCTTCCAGTCTCCCCCATCCTTTCACACCATCCCGCTCCTCTTCTGTCTCAGAGTTCTTAATGTGGGGATCTTAGCGGCCATTCAGCGTAGCCCATCCTGCAGTAAAAGTCATGTGCAAACACCTAACATGTTTCTAATTCCACTCTGCCAGTGAGAATCGTGTGAAAAAGTTCGGGACGAAAATGAAACAGACTGCTCCTGAGGCTGCCCCTCTCAGGGAAGACCGTCCAGGATTGTTGACGCATCTTCCAGCCTAGGTTGCATTGCTGACTGTCTGGAGGCGCTTTCAGGGGGCTAGCGTCTGCCTCTCTCTTCCTGCCTGCTCAAACAACACTGACTGGCACCGTCGATGGTTCTCCTGTTTCATCCTCTCTCGCGCTCTCAGTCTAGAACTTTACCTTCATATTGATTCAGAATAGCAAAATGCATTTCCCCTCTACTCTCCTATCCAAGCTCCCAATTTGTTAATAATATGGAGTTTCGCTCTTGCTTTTACCATTCTTTCTATTTTCCAGCAAAGATTGTCCCTTCTTTGCCAAAGTCGGAATCATTCTTCCAACCACCCAAAAGCTTTTCTCTAGGCTCGAAGAGACCCAGAGCTACCTGCTACCCACTGTCCTTTCTCCTTAGTCTCTTGATCTCCTATAAACATACTCTTGGGGGAAAAAGTGTTCTGACTCTACATCGCCCCCCAGCGACGGCTTTGTAGTTCATACCTGCCCTTTTCATCCCTGCGGGACACTTTTTGTTCAACTGACAATAATTTATCTTCCTTCTTGCAAAATCAGTGAAGTTATTTCCAGCAATTAGCTTCCCATTATTAAATACAGGGGATACATTTTAGTCCGTTTATCATTTGACACTGTTAATAGTTCCACTCTTACTCTTTCTCCTCTTTTGGCTCCACAGTGCTTGTCTTCCTTGGCGCCCCTGCTGGTTACCTCTGAGCGCTTTCCCCAGGCTCCCCCACCAGCCAGCTCCCTTTTCTGAGAGTTCTAGAAAAGCCTTCTCTCAGGGGTTTCTTCCCAACTGAGGGTGCACTTTGCAGTGCTGGCGTCCACAATTTTTACCTCTGGATGACTCATAAATCTTTATCTGTAGCTTGTTCCTTCCTGAGAGTTTTAGAGTCAGGTCCCGTGAGTAGCCTTTCACCCACTTCAGCATGCCCCCAGCTCATTTCAGAGTCATCTCTCGGTAGATTGTGCAGACATTTCTGATGGAACAGAGCCTTGTGTCCACAAGGAAGTCTGACCCTACAACAACGCGTCTCTGTGCCTTTTGTTTGCTAAATACAACTCTTCCATCCCATCAATTGCTGACTCGCTTCAGTGATTTCCCAAAGGCCTTTTCAGTTGAACGTATTGTTTTCCTTGTGACCCCACCAAAGCTAAGATATACAAATTGCTGAACCTGTTCTTCTGAAGTGTAGATCCAAACACTGGAAGAGATAACGCAAAAGTCATAAATGCTTGCCGCTCTTGCAGAGGACCCAAGTTTGGTTCCCCGCACCCACATGAATGCTCACAACACCCAGCAGCTCCAATTCTAGGGGATCCACACCTTCTTCTGGTCTCTACGGGCTCCTACATGCACATAAATACACAGGCACCGACCCATACCCATCCACACCCCCTCATACATACACACGCAAAACATAAACACACAGGCACCCCCACACCCTCCCATACATACACATGCAAGTTCTTGTCATATGAATTTTAAAAATGCGAATTACAGGCGACGGGAGAAGAAGGGAAGACACAATGCCCTGTACTGTTACCCAAAGACCAGGCTGCATGGGACTGTGGCTTCTGTAAACTCAACACCTGACCAAGTCCTGTTTTCTTTGTCCTTGGTGCTGGGAGTGAATGCTTTCAATTTCCCACTCTCTTCCAAGTCTATGTAAGTGCCTCATTTGGATAACACCCAACTTTATCTTGACTCTTACTAACAAAAAAGTCTGGAAAATTTAATCTAACTTTTGTGATATCAGGAAAAAAAAACAAGTAATAGAAACCACCAGTAGTTACCGAAGGCTTTAGAAACACCTACAACAAAAGGCACTACAGTCCAATGGGGATATCGAAGACCTGCTCTTGGGGTAGCACTGGGAAGAATGGTCATTGAATGGATGACCATTGAATGTAAGACTATTGAATGATGACCATTGAGTGGATGGCCATTGAATAAATGGCCATTGAATGTATATCACTGAAGCAAGGGGAGCTGAAGTCATGACATAGACTGTATAGTCAAGTCAACTGAAACAGGAAATACTGTAGCCACAAGGAAAATTCTTGGAGAAAAGTATAGGCAATGATTTTTCTAGTTTGGGGGTAGAGAAGATTTTGTTAAACAATATGCTTACCATAAGAGAAATTATTGATTAGATTATGTTAAATTTAATGATATATTTTCATTTATCAAGAACATCACAAAGAAAGTGGGAAAAGTATTTGAAATATTTGTCCTGTGTATTATCATCAAACATCTACTATTTGGGATACACAAAGAGTTCCTCCCAACTGGTAGAAAAAAAACACAAACAGAATAGAAAAATTGGCAAATAGTATCAAAATGTTTAACCATAAACAGAAAAATACGTTTTATCTCTTAGCAATCCAAGGAATGCAAATTATGTTCATTAGATAGTAGATAGGTTCATGAGAGTTTAATATATTTTTATGCTTTACAGCCCAAGCATAAGCTGATGAATGTTTTAAATGTATCTAACATAATATTAAATTACATGGAAAAATGATTGAAAATGTTCAGCTTGCTTAATAAGAAGAGGTGTCATTTTTCCAATCTTCCCTTCATCTTTGGTGTTCAATGAATAAACCAAGACACTAAAGGAAATCTGTTCCCTACATAGCATCTATCTATTTCATACATGTGGTCACACAATTGCTGAAAACCATTACTTTGTTCCCTCAGTGCCAGAATGGCTTGTTGCCCAGCAAAAATACAAAGCAGTATAATGAAAGCAAATAAACTCCAATTTACTAAACCGGAGGAAATGTAATGTACATTGATAAGCATCCTGGGATTTTATGCGCTAACATCCACCAGAAAATAAATCTGTGGGAACAGTAAAGCGGAGCTAGGATCAGTCACTGGATTCTAGGTTTGTTTTGAACCTTAGTTCATTTCTCTGTTATAAAAAGGAAGAGAAAGCAAAATAAACAATAAGAAATCCATCTGTCTTTGCTCCTCCATCATTTTTCTGCCGCTTCATTCTGGGTAAGTTTTCACTGTAGTTTGATAAATATAACGTCTTCTCTTGGGGTCTCCAACTTGTCTCCCTTTTGGATTCATCTCCTGCCGCATTCTTGACCTCCATCTGTTCCTAGCCTCTCATATGCCAAACTCAGCATCCTTCCTGTGGCTCCCTGAGGAAGTCATGCCGCTTCAGGACTTTGTGCCTGTGCTGAAGCCCTTTGCTCTCCCTGGATCTCATTTTCCTTGTCTTCTCCTCCATGATCTCCAGCCAGCAAGGGCTGCTGCCTCTCCAGTCAGCAAGTGATCCGCTTCTCCAGGGTGGGGTTCCTTAGACCTTTATGATAATTGTCGTATTTCCATAGAAGTGAGTTTTCATACTTTTCCTATTGGCTTTAACCTTTTTGATATAACAATGTGTTATTATTTTCACGTGTGTGGTGATCTCAGTACTTTAATGTTAACTATCTCAACCCGTGATGGGAAAGGGTCATTTTCACCCTAAACTCCTTCCGCGTCTTGAGCAGTCTCCAAACCTTGTTGTCGTGTGCTGCTCTTCTTGTGCCTGGCTGGAGAGGCGGGGTCTCTCCTCCTGTTTTCTATCTAGTTTTTCTGTAGCTACTTCGTCAGGACTTCTTCTCACTCCGGGGGATGAAAAGGTGTCCTCTGTTACGTTTCTTACCACTTCCTGGTTTATTGTCATCTGTTGCTTTTGTTGGCATCATGCGTCACTTCAGTTAGTATCCGTGTTTGAATAGTGCGTCCTTCTTTCATTGGACTCTCCAGGTTCATGAGAATACAAACAAGGTGCACTTTTGTTTATCACCCCTTTAGAGCTGTGCATCATAGAGTAGACTTCTAATAAGCATTTCTTGACTGAGTCATTGCATGTCCCATGAGCACTGTTAGAACACAAGACATAAGGAACATACCTGATAGGCTGGTAGGCCATTCATGGTTCATTGTGTTACTAAATACCTGAACAAGACGGTTGTAGCATCTTCAAAGGCTTCCCTACATATGTCTGTATGTGCAGGAGGCATGGTGGGGGAGACGGCTTGATGCTTATTGCAAATACTATTCTGCTTTCCTGTCTATGGATTTACATCTGAGTCTAAAGGGGATGTGACTCCCAGACAGACGGTGCCGATGAACTTTATAACTGGGAAGCTCAGCTACATGATATATATTGCTTGATAACCTGGGCAACAAAGTCACACTAGTTTGGGAAATTTCCTATCCCTTCAGAGTTCAGTCTGGGGCTTTTGACACAGGGCGAGTGAATGGCACAGGTCAGAATTCAAGACTCCCTTAATGTGAAGCCAGCATTCCTTCTTTCATGGTGGTCCCAGTGTCGGCAACCATGGACTACAACTATGTACTACACTCAGGTGTTTTTTTTGTTTTTGTTTTTGCTTCTTTTTTTCTTTTGGTATCTATTAGCATATAATATAATAACCACGCATAATAAATATAATAAAGAGGAGCTGGGGGAAAGGAAAAACAAAACAAAACAAAATAAAGCACATGTGTCCTTCTGAGAACAAAAGGATGAAATGAGAGAGAGACTCCTACTGCATGCAGACGAGACAGAAGCAGAGTTGGAAG